GAACGTGGTGCTCACGAGATGGAAGAGCGTCCCCTCGGGGACATGGATCGGCCTATCACGGGGCTCTCTGGATATCCTGCCATCGCCCTTGTCGAGAACGCAGAGCGTCCCTTGAGGGACGCTTAACCCAAGAGCCCTGACCTGTTTTCGCTCCATAGTATGAAGCGAGTGAAAGAATAATGCAAGGTTAGTTATCAAGTTTCGGGCTGGTAAATACCAAAAATAGACAAAACAAAAGACAAAGAGATACGAAACTTTTTAACACACCTTTTGCGCCGAGCTGAAAAACGGCCTAGCCTCCATAGCAGAAACCAATACCTCCGACTGTCTTGTACCTAAGTTCTTGCTTAAGTGCTTTGGCCGCAGCAAAGATCTTGGGGCCTCTCACGGCCTTGCTGTGGCGACCTAGGAAGGCTCTAACACTAAAGGCATTTGCCTTCTTGAGGTTTTCCATCATGTCTGGCGTCATAACTTCACCGCTGAAGCTGGGGAAAAGAATTAGTCTTCTCTTGTTATTTATGATGGCCTTAAGAGTTTCAGAGCGGGCGAGGAGAAGGAGATAATCGGGTAATACACTTACAAGTCGACGAGGTATACGGTGGCATCGGTCTCTTTGGCATAGTGGTCTGCGAGTAAGCGAGCGTTAGTAAAGGTCTAGCCAAAGATGTCGTGGATAATGAGAATGGCGGTGTCCTTGTTCGATCCGGACACGTAGGTGTCGAGACCTACGACCTTAGTCTCTTTGCCTTCAGGAGTGCCCATCCAGCGGAAACCGGTCTTGCAACACTCGCTCATTTTTCTTGCGGTGATTGTCAGAGGAAGGGAAGGTCTGCCCTGATTTGATGATATCGAAGGAGAGCTTTCGCCGGACGGAGAAAATAGGTCTGTCAATTTCATAAGTCTGCTTTGTTCCAAGGCGGGGCACCGAAGGACACAACCAAAATATGAGCTATGACGAGAAAGAGACGACAATAGGCATAATGAGTCGTCGATATTGCCCCGTTCTTGGGGCTTCGAAAGCTTCTGCGATGGAACTTGTAGGAGGAATCGCTTGTACACGAAAGCTGCTAGTGGTCGGTACTCGGTGTGGTTGGCTCTCTATATCGGAATTCCGAAAGCTGCCAGGGCATTTTGGCTCGGTATTCGTACGATGCTCCAATAGTCCATTAGTAAGCTGCTGTCCGTTTGGAATTCGTTATGGAATGCTGATTGATACTGGCACGACCGAATCTGTGTTTTTGACTTGGAATTGTTGGAGACAGAGACATGAGCTAAAAGGAGATTTCTCAGTTGGACGTAACTAGCTTTGAGAATCTAATCTGATTATCATTCATTATCATTTTGAGGAAGTATCTTATGATTGAATCAATCGGACTCATCGCCGTGTCCACATTTCTAGTGCGGCGCTTGGGCACGTCTTTGACTTTTCAGTTAAGCTAATACTGAGAGCTGCAATATAGTGGGCTCTTCGGGACCGGTATATAGATGCCGTGAGAGAATTTCATGTTTCTATAATGCTTTGATCATAATGGGAAGGTAGCATTCCGTTTGTTAAGCAAGCGCTTTAGTTCTAGGCGACGTTTAGGGGCTAAATGGGATGTACTAACGAGTCTGGCTTCCGTTCTAGGAGGTCGGCGTCTCTGAAATACAATGAAGTGAAACTGTCTCTGGTCAAGATAATCAATTTGGCTAGTTGTTACGAACCAGGCCTGCGAGTAGGCCGTATACGAAGCTATGACGACAGCAAATCACTCAAGAGACAGGTTACCCGAGGGCAAGCCACGGGACAGAGGTCACGATGCGAACAGTCACGTGGACGCCAGGCAACCTCGCTCAGTGTGGATCAGTAGGGATCAATACGCTCAGGACTGAGCAGCATTGAGCAATACTGAGCAACGCTAAGCACGCAAGAATATATATACACGGTTATTTCATAGCTTTACTACATAGTTAACTTCGTTCACGATTATACCCATACATTTTGGTTATGATCACTTCGCTCTAGTACTCGCTCAAAGTACTTTATTCTCAGTGACTTCGCCTCTTATACTTCCCACTTATCAGGAAACGATACATATAGTGACACCCCTGGTGAAGCGAAACGTAACACTTTAACTACCTCTTGATTGGAAGTATTCGACATAATGTCCAGCTCCAAAGCTCCTATCCACTCATCATCTTCCACTGGGTCGGTTCGGTCCGTCGCACCGGGCGCGCCGACACCTAGGCCAACCTTCACTATTACCTCCAGCTACGGGAACTATAGCAATCACGACAAGGATAACACCAAGGTTGACGTGTTCTACGGGTCTCGTGAGAAGCTGGGACTGTTTATCACTTAGCTCATCGCGACTTTCAAGTTGAACCGCACCAGGTATGTCACCCATGAAGATAAGGTCTTATTCGCGAGGCTTCACATAAGAGGTTTAGCCTTCCATTAGTTTGAACCCATCATGATGAATTATATAATGTCCCCCGAAGGACAAAAGGACCTGAAAATCGTTGTTATTTTCTCTAACTTCGCGATATTCATGGAACGACTTAAGTAGATATTTAGAACTCCAGGGGAGGAACAGGTCGCGGCCTAACGAATCTATCAACTCAAATAAAAGGGATTAGCTATGTAGTACTACGCTCTATTTAAAAGGCTTCAGGCTAAACTAGACTGAGATAACAATATACTTGTCACTGCCTTCTACACAGACTTAAAAGATATCATCAAGAAAGAGTTAGGGCCGAAAAGGCTTGATATATATTAAGGGTTAGTCAATAAAGCCATCGAAATTGACAACTAGCTATATAAGTTAGGATTGAAAAAGAAAGGGTATTATAGTAAGACGGGCGGCGCCTATTACAAGGGAAAGCGCACCAACTACCAGTCTTACAGTGACCCGATAGACCTTGATATTGTTAAACAAGGCCGGTCCTCATGACTAAAGGGTAAGTTTCAACGCAAGAGTCTATCCAACAAGGAGCGAGAATAACGCAAGAAGGAAAACCTGTGCTATAATTATGAAAATCCAGGACATAGGGCTAATAAATGCGGTATAAAGCCCGTGAGACTGTATATTATTGAAGCCGGTATTGGAGAAGAAAAGGCCGACACTCTAATTGAGAAAGAACTCGAGCGCCTGAGACTTGAAGCAAGGGAGCGAATTCGTAGCACAAGGTACTTAGAGCCCAAAAAACAATAAATACTTAAGGAAGAATTAAAAAAGACTAGCCGCGCCGAGAAAACATAGAAGAGAAATCCTAAGAAAACTCAAATAGAGAGAGCGACTTCGATATCACTGTTAATAATTAACGATAAAGAGATTATCGACATCGTAGAGATCTATCCTAATTAAGGTCGATAAAATAAAATAGTCACGACACTAAGGGCCAATAGAGAATGGCCAGAACACGCGAACCTATCATGAATAGCTTGTCATAACGATAGTTACCTTACTCACTACTCTAATAAGCAGGGTATAGAGTGATTCCCTCACGGAAAGAAGCGCAAAAGTCGTTAAAGTAAGAAGTTCAGAAGAAAGAAAGCCGGCTAGGAAGAGCCTGAAATAGTGGCTATAGTGGAAGTAAGACCACCACTATATAAGATCATTAGCGTCGAATACGGGTTCGCACGAATCAGGACTCATCACTAGGAATATGGCGACAACGAAGCTATATTTAGTCTACATATCAATGTTAAATAGGACTAAATACTATTAAAGCTGAAAAGATGCTTCTAGCAATGCAGTTTTGAAGAACCCCACACCCACCTAGCAGGGGGAGAACAATACTAGTTCCCGTTTAAACTGCTACGGGAATAGATCTCGAGCCAGATAAACTGAGAAGTCATAAGTATCTATGACCTTATAAGCAGAGCGGAAACACTAGTGATAATACGAACACATTATTAAACCAAAAGAGAGGACAGAACCTTCTTAAGTCTATATCGGGGAAAATAGCCAACAGAGTATATCCTTATTATATGTATTTATTAAGAACCCAACTATATTGAGGGGTCCTGTCTATATACACACAATACGTGAAGAATGCCTATAATCCATCATTTTCCATTCGACGACAACTCCGATAAGGAAAACAATGAACCTAGCGACTAAGAAGAAGACGAAATATTCATCTAAGTGGAGTTCGATACCCAGAGAACGGCTGCACCAATAACAAAGACACGACATGAAGAAAAATACAGAATAATTGCCAATCATAGCAGTGTGGCAATACTTATAACGAAGTACTAGAAGAATATACTATACACCTAAGTGTGCAGAAGAGATTACGCCACGAAACATAAAAGATTCGATTCTAAAGAGAGTTCAAGAGACAAGGAAGATCTAGTACCCGTGACAAAATATAAAGAAATATATAAAGGACTCACTTATATACATGACGTGCTAGGGGAGAATCATTACGATTTCGCATTCAGCGAAGAACTGGACTCGAGCGACTTTGAGCCCGAGTGTGACACTGTATTGTTCCACGGGTACTGTCACGCGGTTATCGAGACGCTGAACTAGATCTATTACAAGGAAGGAGTATCTAGGACACGTATAGTTAATAACGAGCTTAAACTAAACTATGCTTAGGAGTAAGAGGAAAAAAGGCCAGTATCTATATAGCGATACTTTAAGTGTCTAGGCCTAACTCCTTATACACATTAGACTAATATCAGAGAACCCTACTTCTTCCCATTTAAAGAACGTGACGATCTAACCCTAGAAGAGATTAACCAAAACGTGGCGAGACACTATATCGAAGAAGAAAGAACGAGAGATATCATGATTATAAGAATATATCATTAGATCTAGACAGTAGAAGGGATTCAGAGATATAGCCCCTACACTAACCTAAATACTCACTAGGTTTCTATAATCTTATACTTATATTATAACGAACGGTGTTCATATAAAGGAGAATACACACACAATATAATTAGAAGCGAAATACACTACCTACTATATAAGTCAGAAGATTTTATGATAATCGGTACCCCTGAAGAATTCGATAAGGATAACTCGTTTAAGTTTATCGTTACCAAGACAACTAAAACACACCTTTAGTTCTCAACCCCGTTTTAAAGACCAGTAAAATATGAGCGAATAAACTATCTAAACAAAGCATCACATTATCACCCGAAGTTCAACCTTGAAATAAGCGAAAAGAATAAAGTCCTCGTGTTAGTCAAGAAATAGTGTACTAATATAACGTGCACCCATACACTCAAGATATATATATATCTCACGATGAAGAATATAATCAAACCATCGATCGAGGTGCTTCTACATGTTTTCGGAAGTAGAGATATAACCATAAACGACGTGCTAAAAAACTAGGCGGAGAACCTATTATGAGGCGGAAAATCCCGCGTAACAGAAAAAAGCCTCGGAAACGCTATATCAATATAGTATAGACTCAGTGTTTAACGCCATTAGTCTTTAGCGCTAGACTAGCTAATAAGTCTATCCAAGTAATAATCGATAGCGAAGCAAGCCGAGACTATATATCACTAAAAATAGCAATAAGACTAAATAAGCAACGGAAAAAGAATCTATACTCAGTCTTCATGGTAAACGGGACGCCAGGTGAGTACAATGGCGAATGGATATAATAGGAGATTCGCGACGCCTATCTAGAGATTGAAGAGTATAGAGAGTAAATTGAGCTTGATATAATGCCGATTAAGTATAATATCATTCTAGAGATAAAGTGGCTAAAAGAACACTCGTCAGTAATAGACTGAAAAGAAGAAATCTTGTTCTTCTTAAATTATAGTCATGAGAAGATAAAGAGAA